GTTAGATTACTAAAATGGAAGTCACATAAATTTGTTGTTAAAATTTAATTTATTCATGTGGCCAAGCCAAACACTACAAGCAGACCATCTTGTATTTTTGCACTTCTGTGAAGATGTTCATTGTGCTGTTTTGTGTGCTTGTGTGGAATGCGACCACATACACATAACTGTTAGTTATTGAAGTGTGGGCCTGTCTCCTGTGTGCTACTTTCATCCTCAAGTCTGAGTAGTCATTTGAATGGACTTACAGAGAAACCAAGAAATCTCAAGAAATGTAAAGGCGGAAGTTTGACTTGACAAAGGACGATTTTAGTGTAATATTATTACAATTTATAGTCTTTTGTCAGTTAAGATCAGGAGACAATTCAGGAATAATCATATATTCATTCGTAAACATCATTCATATATAAATTATTATTTTTCCTTGAAATGACCTGCACTAAAATTGAGCTGTACGTACCTTACCGTCCAGCAGTGTTCCAAATACCAAAATAAAGAAACCCTTTTTAAAAACAGAGTAACATGAGTTATCAAGGATTCAGTGATTAAAGATGCTACTATCATGGTATACAGATAGAGAAAAAAATGAATTTGTACCTGTAGCGAATTGAAGAATGCAAATGCAATATGGATTCCTTCATTTGTTGGATTAGCCAGAATTCCAGCTCCCAAACCCCAAGTTATGCCAAAAAATGGTGTGAGCACAGCCAAGCTCTTGGCAATAACCACTAAGACGTGCTTTTCCTCTGCTTGTGCAGCAGTTGTTCCAACCCTTCTCCTTATGATTTTGTACAAAACCACAACCAGGATAATGAGGTTTATCACCACTATTAAAAGTGCAGGAATCACAAATGCCAGCAGAGCTTTGGACTTATCCCAGTTGAGCCAGCATATGGTATTTTCTCGAATGTATCCGTTGTCAGGTGCAGTTACAGCTATAGTTACTGTTGCAATGATGAGAGGAGCTCCGTAGCCTAGAAAAAATCCAATGGCCAGCATAGATGCTTTAGACAAACCCCCACCAAAAACATTAGTTGTACGGTAGAGCAGCAGCATAGCTGAGGCCAGCATCCAGAAGAACAGGGCTAGGTAGAAAAAATGGATAAAAAAGGTAGCTGCAGTGCATGCTGGGGGGTTTTTAACTTCTGCATCTGAAATGGCCGCTCCAATTATAAACCAAATGTTTGCAATCAGGAGGGAAACGGCGATGTTAACAATGGCAACATGACGCAAGTAAGAGGTTTCATTCTTTCTTATTTTTCTCCAAATGAGGCCTTCAATGATGAGACATATGACCAAGGATCCCATTGAAATGCCAACTCCAATGTAGGTTATAATGTCCAAATAGAGTTTCTTCGGACTGTTCGGTGACATGAGGATGGAGAATGAGGTCAGGTGGTTGCAGTTGCAGGTGACAGTTT